TTTTTTTTTTTTTTTTTTTTTTGGGATAGGGAATCGATCTCAGGGACTCTCACTCACTAGGAAGACCCTGCACCACTGAGCTATGTTCCTAGCCCCTCCCCTCATTCTCTTTCTTAGCTATTGTTAAATGTGAATTCTTCCATATGAACCTAAAATTATTTTAGTCAGGGCCAATTTTTAAAAAACAGATTTTTGGTTGGTGCAGTGCTGGATTTGGGTTTGGCAAGTTTATTATGTAACACCCAGGCAGGTCCGGGCCTCCAGGAAGTGTGCATCGCCATGGCCACCACTGGAAGACAAGGACATAATCACCCCAAGCCTGTCCCTGGCTCCCTGTGCCTCTGGCTGAGAATTGGTCTCCACTGCCTACAGCTGCCCTGACCCTCCTCTCGCGGGTGGGCCCACCGGTCTGGGGTCCAGCAGGGGCTGAGCTGGGTGGACGGGAGGACATTAAGCCCTTCAAGCCACACTGAGAGATGCTGAGTCTCAGAGACCGGAACCTTGAAGACGGCTCTCCCACCTGGGATGTGCCATAGGGTGTGGAGAGAGGAGCCCGCGGAGCGTGTGCCCACGGCATATGTGCGGATGAGGTACCTGCAAGCCCAGCATCTCAGGGGCAGCAGCCGAGAATGGTCCTCAAGGACAAGCCGCACACTGACCAGCCACTGTCCCACTTGGCACGGACAGCCCTCACTTGCGGGTGCTGCACAACCTCCTTACCACTGGCAGATGTCCTCCCACCAGGATGCAAGCCACCTGCCTCGCCCATCCTGGCCCTAATGGGACACTGCAGCCAACCTTCGTGTGCTTCTGTGGCACCATTCAGCACCTGGCAGCCAACTCCATCCCTCTGACCCTACCAGGGCGACCAAATTTGCCCACCTTAAACTGCAACTGCCACAATGTGACCAAGTTCTGGTCCCTTCAAGAAGCGGAAGCCAACAGTCTCTTCTGTCACCGCTGGCTGCTGCTGGAGCTCAGCCAGGAGTTTGCCTTTGACAGCACCCTTCAGGTCGCCTGGTGTTAACTGTCCCTGATCCTCCTGAGCGCAGAATAGGGATGGTCAAATCCACAACCGACTGGTGGCCACAGGGTGCGACACATGACAGGGCTACATAGTGACTTCAAGGTCAGCCTCAACCACAAGAAGGCTCTGCCTCAAAGGGCTGGAGAGCCACGGCCCACTCAGAAGCGCTGGGCCAGCCTCCCTCGGCCTCGGCATTCCTCTATTGATGGCTTCTAGAACCTGAAACTTTCTCTGTGAGGCTTATGCACAGTGCTGCAGCCCTGAGCAGGGTCTCGGTCTGCTGTCCTGTCACTTGCTTTGGAGCCAGTTTGAGGGACTGGGCTTGCCATGCCTGGGGCCTGAAACTAGGGTTTCTAACTCATGGGCACTTGGCTTGGCCATATCAGCAACAGAAACCATTTATTTACCTTCTCTGCTCCACTAATATAGACAAATACATCCAACACTGATTAAGCCAAAGAAAGGAGGCTTATAACAGATATTAGAAACATAATACTTACCCACAGTTAATAACATATGTATAACAAAAGTGATATCCTTCCAATTTTGGACAGATAATTTTTGGGTAATATCCTTATAGAATTACTTTTTGTCAGGCATGGAGGTGCACACCTGTGATCCCAGCACTCAGGAGGCTGAGGCAGTAGGATCACTGCAAGTTTGGGGCTGGGCTACATAGTGAGTTCAAGATCAGCCTGAACTACACAGTGAGGCAGAAAGAAAAAAGAAAAAAAAGAGAAACCTGTGCATAAGAATCCTTGCTTCATAACCTTCCAGCCTTATTTAATTGTTGTTGTTAAGCTAATATTCCTGCCATCAAATTGCTCAATGTCTGTAGGGAAACCAAGAAAAGTACCTACATAAATACAGCAAGAGCCATGAAATGCTCAGTGCCCCAGGTTGGTATACGTCGTCTGTCTGACCATGCATCCTCTCCCATCTGCCCATCTGGCCACGCACCATCCATTTATCAAGCCTCTGTTGGACCTCAAGAGCGAGGAACGCTGTGAAGAGAGACATGGCAAAGCCTGTGGGCCTTGCACCCAAGTCCTCAGAGAACCAAGGGCTCCTTGAAGGGTGCAAGGAAGAGGCAGCTGGACACAGGCTCCCTCAATCAGGTGATCTATGGTCAGGAAGTAGGAGCCAGGAGGGTGTGACACAGATTTGAGGAGTCACCTCTTTTTGAGAAGAAAGCCAAGAAACTGTGACTTTGGCCAACATGACTCTTTCATAGCAACCTAAGCAACAGCAACGACAAAACCAATTTCCACAACTGAGCACTAAATACACGGTGTCTTGTTATTCTCCTCACACCAATTTTCCAACTTTCAGACATAACTGTGCCCTATAATTTAGCTCTGTTCTGACCACTGTGAGGGCTCATCCTGCACAACCGCCCCTCACTTCAGATGCCAGTCACAAGCGGCTGGGCCCCCGACTTCAGTCGACAAACTGGAAGTCCCCTTCCTGGGTCTGGGTGATTTGCTGCAAGGTTGGCAGAATTCAGTAAAACACTCTTCTTGCTGCCCCAGGTTTCATACAGAGGACATGCAAGTGGGCATCCTGAAGGGGCAGGGGCATGAGCTGCAAGGCTCCCGAGCACAGGGCTTCTGGCCAGTGGAGTTCGGGGCGGGATACTCTCCGAGCTCGTTGGCTGGGGCACATCCTAACTGGAAATATCCTTTGAACCCTTTTGCTTAGGGCTTTTATAGGGATTCCAGTATCCGGGCTTGACCGATTAAACCATCAGCCACAGGTGACCTCCTGCTCCTGGCTCAGCTCCTCCCTAAGGGTCGGGGCTGTAAGTTCCAACCCCTGGGCATACAGTCAGTTTTTCTGGCAGCCAGGTCCTAGCTTCTGGGAGTTCCCTAGCTAGGACATACTGAGGTGCAGCTGAAGGCAGCTTATTCTGAACACTGAGTACACCTAGCACCCTTAGCACTAGGAACTCCAAAGGTTTCTGAAGCTCAGGGCCTGTGACTGAGGACTGTAGGATATCACGATGCCTTAGAGCCCCACAGTCAGCAGCGGCAATGGGGTTGAGGGGAAGGCTATGGATTGAGTTTTCAAGAACTTTGGATCTCTAAAAGCCATAAGCAGCAGCACTTCTTAGTGGTGGCCCCTGTGGACTCCGGCCGGCCATGTCAGTGCTGAGACCCGCCTGGCTGGGAATTGGAGGACGGTGGGCCTGGTGGTTCCGGTCTCAGCATCATCGGGCAATGGGTCACAGCTGGACCCGGAAGACCCATAAACTGGGGTCTGGGTGCCTCATTCTGTGAGTCAATGCTTAGTTCCTGCACTATTTGCATTAAAGACACCAAGACTTTCCTCTCTCCTGTGAGCAAGCAAGCCACACCCTGCAACAACCAAAGTCCATCTCACCTTCCAGTTACCCTGGATCATGGGAACACTTGCTTTCCCGGTATTCGTGATTTCTGAGAGTGTGAGTGTGCTCTCTACTCATTTTATTGACACATGGACATATAATTGGTGCAGTTCAAGAAGAACCATTCACCTGCTGGCCTTCTCCTCCTGTCTGGAGCCTGAGGAAATGACCTGAAATTGAAAAAGAGAAATCAAGGTAGGGTACTAGAACTCCTGGGAGTGGGATTAGGCAGGAAACATAGGATGAGGCATTCAGAGTGGATCCGCAGTGCGTAAGGAAGGGGAAGAGGGTTCTTCCCGCTCTGGGTCATAATTGAAGATTTGAAAGGAATGAACAGGTGCTCTGTTCTTTTTCTTTCACTGTGGAACCTGAATAGCCCCAGAAAGGATGCTGGTGAGGAAAATCACTCACTGATCAAACCCTGTGCTGAGTGCTTGGTAGTAATGACTGAGAGCAGGAAGCTGTCCAGGATGACCTTGCGGGAGAGGATGGTACAAACTCCTGCCAAGTTCAACCAACAGCAAATCAAGAGACTTTCACCTTGTGAGCTATGATGGTAAACATTTTCTCTGAGAGTTCTCAAGAGGAAATCAAAATTGATTTTTTAATCGCTCTCTTCCTCCAGGTATATGAAAGAAAAACAGTGACTTCAAGTTTAGCACATACAGGGAAAGCAGAGGGTTCATGGCAAAGCCAACAAGATGTTTCTGACTCTCTCACGGAATCACAGCCTGTGCAGCTGACTGAGTGGTATCCTCTAGGTAGCTCTGGGGCCACCCCCTTCCACCCTGGCCTTCTCCCCTGGGTCGGTCAGTGTGGCAGGGCTTCAGAAGACCCCAAGGGAGGCCTTGAGGCTGGCTGCAGACCATGGTCCCTTTGAATGAGGACGGCCCGGAGCAGGGTGTCTGTGCCATTTGCCAAGACCTCCTGAAGGAGGCCGTGAGCACTGACTGCGGGCACCTCTTCTGTCGCGTGTGCCTGACCCAGCACGCCAAGAAGGCTTCCAGGGACCTCTGCTGCCCACTGTGCAGGAAGCCCTGTTCCAAGGGGGTGCTGGGAGAAGGCTACCTTTGCCACAGGCACCAGAAGAGAGTGCGCAGCTTCTGCGAGGAGAGCAAACTCCTCCTGTGTGTGGAATGCCTGGAGTCCCCTGAACACCGGTCCCATCTGGAGCCAACCATTGGAGACGCCATCAGCCACTACAAGGTGAGGCTGGGGCGTCACAGCCCGGGACTCCGTCACTCCTCCCTACTTCTGGGTCCCAAGAGGCTTCATAGCTAACACCTGCATTTCTTCTGCTTCATCCTCCTTCGGATCCTCGTTTGTTTTGTTACTGATATCAGAGTTTCAATGTATGGATAGGAGTCTGTCCGAAAGACGGTACTGTCATTGCCAGGGTGGAGCCCCGGGGAACGTGGCCTCTCCGCTGTCTGCGGGAGTGGAGCTGCACCTGGAAACGCTAGTACCACAGGGCTTCCTGGTCCACAGCACTAGAAACTTGGCTAGAAGTGTCAACAGTTATCCTGTGAGCATGTGTCGAAACCTGGAAATTAGTGTATGATTCTGTTTTTCTTTCCCCTTCCTGCCATATCTTCTTTTCTATCATAATCATTTTATCACATTCATTTTTTTCTCACAAAAGTGTCATGCTAAAAATCTCTCTGCCCCAGGCTCAGTCCTGAGAGCTCACTCAGTGGACTTTTGTGTCCTTTCAGAAACTGTGTGAATATACTCTTATCAGCCTCCCTCCACTCACAGGATTCGCTATCCTTTTCTGGAACTTGTTTTTGTCGTCTAAAAATATGTCTTGGACACTTTACCAGTTTCCCATCAGTACACCCAGATCTTTTGAATGCTTTTCAATAAGTAACTGCATGATATTCAGTTTTATAAAAATGCCGTAAATTGGCAAGCATTGGGTTAGTTCTAAGTTATTTTTCTTTCCAAGGTATTCCTTTATTTTGAGATTGCACAGAATGTTGCAGTGGATATTTTTCAACATGTATTTTGGAGAACTTAGAATATCAAAGACACGTTTTGGTGAAAGTGTGAGGTAGGAATCTAATTTTATTTTTTCCACATTAGGGTCAACTTGTCCTCTCGCCATTCACTGAGTATTCCATAGAGTTTCCCCAATGAGTTGGTACTGATGGATACCAACTTCATAATTTGCTGTACATACATATGTACTTGTTTATCTTCTTGACTCTATTCTATTATTTTATCTATTCCCATGTATGTGTCAAATCATTTAAAATCTTGTACCTCTGCCATAATTTCTTATTTTTTATATTTATCTGAGCCCTAAAAATTCCAAATAGGATTACAATGTCATCTGAAAGAATGAACAATGTACAAAATCTTTATGACAAATAAAATTATTTCATTTAAAGTGATTTTTTGAAAACCAAGATCAACATATCTTAACATCATACTCAATAGAGAGAATATTAATTCTACTTAGAGGAAATCTATGCCAACACTAACTTCAGACAACAAAGCAATAACATTAAATCCCTACAATTTGTTTAATTTAGGTCAGGAAATTTTGGAGACAAAATATTAAAGTTAATTATTTTACAAATTCGCCATTGAAAGAAAGCATGATAGACATCAGAGTTCATTTCCACCACAAACACCTGTTCACTTAGCTAGAAGACTAGCAGAAGGGTATTAGCATATCCCATTTGTGATAATTTCTCTATAACAAGCAATTGTTTAAGAAAAACATTGCCTCTTAAGCCCTTTTTTGTTCTTTTGAATCTCAATCTCTAAAGTTCAAGGTGCTGTGGGAGAATCCTGGTGCCTAGAGGGCCCGACGAAGCAGCGGGTAGATGTTCTGAAAATGCCCTCAGATCCACGGACCCTGCTCGGGGTCCCCGCACAGCCTTCTCCCACGGGCGCCGGGACATGTGAGGAGCACACCTGGCGGTCCCTGCGGCTGGGCCTCATCTTCGTGGGCCATTGTGCCTTCACTGTCCTGCTGCTCCCTCCTCAGCTGTTCCTGCTGTCTCAGAACTGTTTCTTGCTAGGTTGTATCTTCTTCTTCCCTCGCATTGGTATTTTTAAAGTTAAATTTATTTATTTATTGCTGTGCTAGAGATGGAACAGCTGAAGGCCTTGGACACACCAGGCATGCGCTCTGTCGCTGAGTTACATCCCACACCCTGCCTTGGTATTTTCTTGCCAGGTAGCTAAGCCCCCTAATGCAGAGGACTGATGAATAGCAAGCCTATCTTGCGCGGCCGCTAATCTACTAGAGTAATCCACTTCTACCCCGGGATACCAAACTGAGCACTTTTCTCTTCCTAATAAGGGTTTCCTGAATTTTCTCCATGGCCGATGTCATGTCCTTAAGGAGGTTTCAGTCGTCCCAAGCGTGCTGCTGAGTGGCCGTATTCCCGTTCTCAGTCTACTGTGGCTAGGCCAGCACACACTTTGAATAACCAAAACCACGTCACGGTTAAGACAGGGACAAAACCTCCCCTTCTCCCTCACACCCTGAAATATTTGGACGTAAGGCTGGTCTTAGCACCCTTATAATATTTTCAGAATCTTTGTGAGTATTCATCTATGTTTATTTTGCCCATTAGCTTTAGAATTATTTTCATCAGTGTTTCCCCACCCTAATCCAGTGACCAATTGGATGGAAGACTGGCAATATGTACAACATGGTGTTTGGTCCAACAATGAACACCAAGTTTCAAACTCTTGACACTTGACTTTTTTTTTTTCTTTTTTTTTTAGGTGGCAGAACCACTGAGCAAGTCTTGACACTTGACTTTTAAGGAACATGGTTAAAAATAGCATGAGGAAGAAGGGAGTCCAGACGGGTGACTGTAGAAAGGTAGAGAAACACTTCAGAAATTGAAGAGGCAAAGTTACATTGCACATTGTACCCTCCAGGTGCAGAGTGGGTAGGACAGTGAGGGGAACCTGCCGTCCACTGATGAGCCAGGCATGAGAAAGAGAAATCTGCTCCTTAAGTGATTTACTCAGGTCTGCATTTTGTGTAGAACATCATGCTAGGCCTTACAGGAAGTACAAAGATGATTCATGGTCCTTGTTTTGAAAGCCACATGTAAACAGTGACAGGAAATGTAGAACAAATAAATGACAACAATATTTGCTCATTTAAGGAAAGCATGAGTTTCTGCTGAATGAATGTTAGCAACTTCAGTGCGCAGTAGGAAACAAGGAACAAAGTCTGTGAGTCTGCAGTTGAATAAGGGAGAAGAGAAATCAAACGATCTACAAATTTCTGTGTGCTAGGAAGAGAGCAAAAAGAGCCTGAGACGGAGAGCAATGGGTGACCCGTGTTAGGGCCCCAGGGGGAGGAATCATCGAAGTTGAGACCTAGAAGAACAGAGAACTAACACAAGACCAGGGGAGGGGAGCGGACCCAAGGGCCACGTCTGGAGCGGCTGTTTTACTTGAGGAATTTATAATCATGTTTGATTGATAGGATTTACTGATAAATTAGAAATGGGGTGAGGGGATGAGGAGAATCAATCAAAGATAACCTCAGGAGTGCTGGTTTAAGAAACTGAAGGAGACCTGGGGTAAAGTATTCACCTAGCACGCTCCAAGCACTGAGTTTGATCCCCACCACACAGAGAGAGAGAGAGAGAGAGAGAGAGAGAGAGAGAGTGTGTATGAGGGAGGGAGAGAGGAACGGAGCAGATTGAGGAGATCATGTAAGGGATAAGGACTGGGTGGAATATGTTTCAATGAAACATTGAGTTTCACTTGGGACAAGTTGTGACACAATTAAGCAGGATCCTGTATATCAACTCCGATCTCCAAAGAGAGCTCTCTTCTGAGAGAGCATTAGCAGTATTCCTGGAACCCAGGACAGGGACCCACCAGAATGAGGATAATTGAATCCCAGAAGTCATGTGGCATCCTCAGGAGAGGGTCAAGAGAAAAGAGGAGTTCTGGAGAGGTCTCTGGAAAGGCCATGGTTGGATTTAGGGCCAAGGAGACCCGGGGCAAGCCCAGAAGGGCAGGGGAACAAGGAGGGTGGTGTTGCACTGCTGAGAGGACTGTGCTGAACAGAGAAGTGAACACCGAGTAGGGAGGAGGCAGGGGACTTCACGGCACCATCAGGAAGGAAAGAAGCGGTGTGAGAATGCAGTAGTTTTGCTGTTTGGGAGTGTGTGTGACTGTGCTGGTTTTATTTTCTCAGTGGTACATGAAGAAGGGACACAAGCGGTGTAGTAGGGGTGGGAATGTGAAAAAACAAAACAATGGTGTGAGCAGCGAGCAGACGGTGTGGTACCATCTGGGCAGTGAACCCGAGCAGCCCGTGTGGAGCTGGCAGGGTGTGGAGCCCCAGAGTGAGGCCGGCTGAAGGCAGACAGCCGAGGCTGATCCTACGAGTGGCCAGGAAAGCAGCAGATAGAGAAGGGCCAAGGTCATTCAGGGTATTTTTGCAGAAACTGTGTCCTTGTCCATGTTGATAGCACAGTTCCCAAATTAAGTTTTATTCAGGTTTTTCACTATGTCTCTATTTCTTTCAATTAAATGCTATTGAGTAAATACTGTAAATTGTGACTTTTTTCTCTCAAGGTATTACTCAATCCAGGACCTTGCAATGAGCTAAATCCACAGTCCTTTTTCTCGTCTCGTCTCTTCTCTTGTCTTCTCTTCTGAGACAGGGTCTCATCAACTTGCTCAAGGTGGACTTGAACTTGCAATCCTCCTGCCTCAGCCTCCTCTACAGCTGAGATTACAAGCCTGCACCACCATTCTAGGCTAATCATGTCTTTTTAAAAGGTGGTATACTATCCCTATCTGTACTCCAGAAAGACTGAAAAATGTTAATGCAACAGAGTCTTATCTGTATATCTGTTTCCTCACTGACCAGCCGGTGATGGTATCTGTCACTTTCATGTATTTTGTTGATTTGATAAATGTGTAATAGTGACTTAAATTGTTTTACTTTGCTTAACTTTGTTTGTTTTTGTTTTTGTTTTGTATCGCGGATAGAACTCGGGTCCTTATGCTTTCAAGGCAGGTGGCAGAACCACTGAACTAAATCCCCCATCCTTAACTTTGAATTCTGATAGTGAAGTTTTACCCATGATGATTCAGTATCTATATTTCCCCCTAGAATCAGGGCATCCATTCTATAGGATTGTCCCATAGTGCTTTATCTTTTGGATAATAAACTGTAAGTAAACCAGGCATGGCGGCCCATTTCTATAATCCCAGCGCTCAGGAGACTGAGGCAGAAGATCATCATGAGTTCAAAGCAAGACCCAGTCTCAAAAACCAAAACAAATAAACTATATTGGTTATCTCTAACCTACATTTTTATTGCTTCTTTTAAATTTTCATTTTCTGAGCAAAAATTTAGGACTTACAGTTTCCATCGGTTCTATTATGTTATATTCTGTTTTTCTCAGAAAGGTCTCATCATGGCCTTCAACTTGCTGTTTAACCCAAGCTGTCCTCCAACTCTTAATCCTCCTCCTCAGCCTCCCCAGTGATGAGATTACCGGTGCATACCCCCTTCCCAGGCAGTTGTTGTTTTTAAAGATAAAATCTTCATGTCTTAATTACTCAGAAATTTCTCTAGCATGATTGTTGTTCTGCTTTATTTTCAAAGATTTTTGAAACTCCTGTATTATTTAATATATAGTGTGGTGTGAAGGATTAATCCATGCCAATTTCTCTTTATTCTGGTATTTGGTTGTCTGAAAAACATTTCTATATGAATGAGTCTATTTCACATTTATGTGTTGTCTCTGGTTTGACATAAATTAAGTGGGACAGGAGTGCTTTTTTATTCCAGTCTATTGACTATTTTTTGTTCTAAAGTATTTATTGTATAGTTTTGATACCTTTTGCTTTATGGTTTACTTTTAAATCTAGAAGCATCTTTGCCATTTAACAATTTTTTTGTAATTTCATATTCTTATTGACTTTCTTGCCAAAGGAATGCTCTTATACAATATTCCAAAATTCTGTACAGCCTTCCTTGTGGTTGTAATGGGCATGGCATTAAATTTGTCGATTTCTGTAAGAATCATGATTTTGAGGGTTTATGTAGTCTTCTCAATAAGTAGCAGGACATCACTGAGAGTTTTCCTCTGTTTCTGAATCAGAAGTTAAACTGTCTTTATTTAAACTTCAGGTACACTGATCCGATTGAAGGTAGCTATGTATTTCATAAAGTTGGGTTTTGGGGGGCAATTAGTAATCAGAAATTCAAATGAAAGTCTTAGCTGAACTTGTATATTTATTCATAAATCCTTTAATTTCCTGACATTTTCTAGCATATAATCATGTAAGTAATGTCATTCTTATTCATATTTTAGGATATTCTTTTTTCTGAGAAACATGCATTTTGAAAGTTGGTAACTTAAAACCCGTATCAAAGACAAGCACTTTTAATCTGTTAACCACTTTTTCTTTTACACATTTTGTTAGAAACTTATTTGAGAACTAACTGCAAAGTTGCTAGATTCTTATGCTCTATCATTATTTAGTGCCCAATCTTGGATGCTCCCCTGTATTTCGATTTGGCTTTCTGCCGCCTGAGGTGTAGTTTTGGTTGGTGAGAGTTCATAGAATTTGCCTTTTAATTCATCAATTTATTTATTTATTCATTTTTGGTACTGGGGATCAAACTCAGGATCTTGTACTTGCGAGGCAAGTACTTTGCTCATTTTGAATATTGTATATGTATATATTTTTGGTACCGGGGATTGAACTCAGGCCCTTGTGCTCTCGAGGCAGGCAGCGAAACCACTGAGCCAAATCCCCGGCCCTTGAATATTGTAAATGATACATCTGTCTTGTTTTCAATCTTCGTTTCATGCATTTAACTTTATTGGTGTTATCTTTACTTTCTTTTTTCATTTATACGGTGCTTGTAGTTGACTTTAGACCCTTTATTAAAATTTAAACTGCCACAAGATAAGTCTCTAGCTTTTTGAATTGGACTTTAAGAATAGGTCTGATTTTCCATGGTGTGGTGGTCTGTAATTCCAGCTACTTGAGAGGCTGAGGCAGGAGGATCACAAGTTGGAGGCCAGCCTGGGCAACTTAGTGAGACCTTGTTTCAAAATTACGAATAAAAAGGGCCAAGGGTATAGCTCAGTGCTTCCCAAGTACAATCCCCAGTACTAGAAGAAAAAAAGAAGGAGAAGGAATTAAGGGGGGAGGGTGAGGAGGAGGAGGAGGAGGGAGACGGGAAGGCTGAGGAAGGCTGATGGCATTGCCGGGACGGAGGTAACAGGGAAGCCTGGGGGTGCCGCGGCCGCCTGGGAGAAGGAAGAAAGGGCGCAGCAAATGTGAACTGGGGCTGACACCCTGTTGCTTCCACTCCTCCGCTGAGCTTTTAAACCCCGCGCCTGCCTTCGGGGAAGTGCCTGGGGAACGCTGTAATGTGACAAATGTTTGGTGCCTCCCTGGGACCTGCTGTGCGAGTCCCTTGGCTTTCTGTCTGCTTGTGGCCTCACCCACCTCTGTCAGCCCCCAGACCAGATCTCCATTTCACAGCCAACACCTCAGTACTCTCAGGCCTCTTCCGCGGACCCCACCCGTGGTCTCCTCTCTCCTCAAAGCAACACATTTTGAGAATTTATGAGAGGATACAAGGCCAAATCACAACAGAAAAAAGCACTGCCTGTAAACAACCAACCAACATCAAATTCTCAAAAACATTTCTTTTACTTAATTTGGGAAGGATTTAGTCAGTGAAACACTCTTCAGTTAATAGCATGTCTTTATCTTCAGTTCTCAAATCTCCTCACTTTGTTTTCCTTTTTTATTCTTTACCATTCCTTTCTACTTCTCCCATGGGCAGCTGTTTAACATTTGCTTTTTATTTGTACATGATTTAGCAAAACGCGTTGCTACGTCGTGTGTTTGTGCATTTGATCTACAAAATGGTGTTACATGGAGGGCCTCGCCTCACCATGTTTCCCGCTTTCCCACCGTGCACCACGTGTTACGGCCAATCCACGCTTTGTGCCGCGTAGACCCCTTCTGACAGCTCGGTCCCACAGTGGGACGTGCCGGCTTTTCACTTCTCTGTTTCTTCAGGAGTGGACTTTACACGGTCCTGGCTCCAGTTTTGTTACTGGGTGCTGGGGTCTCCTTCTAGAGGTGGTTTTGAGGTTCTTTCTGTGGAATTGGGCAAGACAACTGCAAAAGGTAGCGAGAGTCGACAGGTATTAAAGGTAGGAAAAGGAACAGGCGTTAAGAGTGAGTTTGGGCCGAGGAAGAGTGAGGGAGAGTACACTCCATGGGTGACAGGATCGCTGAGAAACAGCAGAGCGGCCCAGAGCTCGGTGGAGCCTGAGCTTTGTACCTCCGCCCCTCGGGCCCTCTGTTCCGGTTCCCTACAAGGACGGCTCAGGTTCTCACCTGAAGTCGTGCGCAGAGCTCTGGGAGCCGTGCCGGCAGCGTCCTGGGATTCTGCGCTGCACACGTCACGTCGCTCCCTGCACACAAATCTCCTGTCTCACGTAGCCTGCAAGTCCTCCTGGGACCTATGTGAGGAGGTTCTTTGGGATCCTTGCCCAGGAACTTGTGGGTCCTTTCCCAGGCCCGCGCCTTCCCTGGAATGGCTGTGCCAGTGAAGTCCTCAGCGGCCCTTAGGTCCTTAGGTCCTGTGCAACCTGGTCCTCATCATCCACAGTGCCATGTTTACTAATCGGATAGGTGCCAAATAACATTCCGTTGCTGTTATTTTCCCCTTCCCTGGTCACTGATGAGTTTGGGCGTTTATCCACCTCACATTCATAGCTTCGGGGACACAGTGACCCACCCAGGTTATGATTTACGACTGAGACGGAGCGATGGGTTTGCACTTAACTAAGGGCTTTTTGCTCTCCATTCGGGACAAGATGTGGCAGGAAAAGACAGTGGTGCACAGCTGAGGCCGCTCGCTCCAGACTGGCTGCGTCTGTCACTGCGGAGTAACAGGAACCGCCCGGAAACCGACATTTGGGGCAGCGGCGCGTATTCCTCGTTCTGGGGCCAGGACCTGCCGGGTTCCTGTGTCCCCAGTCTGGTAAGGAAGTGCATCTCTCTTCAGGAACGGCTCAACCGCCGGAGCAGGAGGCTCAGGAAGGACCTCACCGAACTTCAGCGGCTCAAGGCGCAGGAAGAGAAGGAGCGGCAGGCCTTGCAGGTGCGGACCCCAGAGTCCTGGACGGGGACGTCGAGTGTCTTCGCGGGCGAGCTGCCTGCTCTGTCTCTGGACCAGCCAGGTGCCGGAGGACAGCTGGGCAGGCTGAAACCTGGGCGTGCCAGTTGGCTGGCAGAGCGATCCCGGGCACGTTCAACCCTCCGGCCCTCGTACAACTTAAAAGTTCACTGAGAACCAATCGCTCCTCTCCCTGGAGCACGGTGAGAGTCGAAGGAGACAAGCGTCTCATCAACTGAAATCACGGCACAGAGCACGGGGCTGTGCTCCCCTGTCCCTGACAGTTCACCTTTTCCGTCCTCTTGCTCACTTGGGTGAGCGCTCCCTGTACCTGGGGCTGAAAGGGTTTCAAAGCAGGCAGTGAGAGGACACCGCTGAGTGGCATGTGTGTGTGTCTTCCCTCTGTGGCCCAAGGGAAGGGGACTGAGGACTCAGCACTCCCACTCAGGTGTTCAGGGGCAGTGGGAGGCCGAGAAGGAGTCCCAAGCAGCCTCTTTTCCGTGGTTTCAGACAGACTGTGGGAACCGCAGACTGCACGCGGAGCTGGAGAGCCAGCACCAAACCGAGGGACAGCTAGATGCGCCCCCTCTGCAGGAGCTAGGTCAGCTGGAGCACACGTCTGCAGAGGGCGCTGGAACCCTCAACCTCTCCGAGGCGGTAACACAGCTCGGCACCCTGGTGGCTGATCTGGAGAGGACGGCCAAGGAGCTGGACGCCAACACCCTGAAGGTGCACATCGGGGCTGCCCCACACCCCAAGGCTCCCACCTGCAGCTGCGCAGGGAGGTGCTCACGTGACGTGGTGACAAGGCAGTGGCTTGCCTAGGACCAGGCTGTGCTGTCGCAGCAGAGCGAGGTGTAGAGCAAGGGTGATGTCCCCAGGGAGGCAGCTCTGAGTGGCCTCACAAGTGAGCTGGGAAGGAAATTTAGAGCTGACAGGAACCTGAGAGCTGATTATGATTCTCACTCTTGTCTCTCTTTCCTAGGACGCCAGGGACTTACTGAACAGGTATGAGTCATCCGTTCTTCATGCCCATACGTGGAGACACCTAAGGTGCCAGAGACACGTACAACCCACACAATATAGAGCTTCGTGTGGGCTTTCCCAGCATCAAGGGAATCCCCTGCTGCGTGCACTTGTGTACCTTCTGCCCTGTGACCTGTGGAAATTCCACAGAACGTCTCAGTGTGTACGAATTTATGAAGGATTTCTTTGTTTCTAGGAGTGCTCCACAGAAATTAGACAGACTCCTCTCTCTCCTTCCTCCAGCCGGTCCGGCGCCCCATTAGGCCTGCCACCTCCGGAACACAGCCTCATTTCCTCAGCCCGACAGCCGTGTCCCGACGCCTCACCCTCCGACACGGAGGCAGCCTCCTCCCTGAGCCAGGCTCATCTTTGTGGCTCCCGTTGTGAAGGCCAGAGCCGGGCTCCCCAGGGCCGTTAGGGTGATCTCCACTTGGCCTGTGAGCCATGGGAGCCCTACCACTCACCTTCTCCTGTTACATCGAGCGCCCAGGTGTGTGGGTGGTGATGCTCCCTCAGCACACAGATCCCCAAGGGGCGCCAGTCGCCCAAGCTCTAGTAGCTTTTGCTGTCTGCACTTCTGCATTATTGCTGTGGCAGGCAGACTGAGGGTGGCCCTCGAGGTCTTCACCTCAGTGTCCCTGCCTGTGCGGCCCCCGCCCTTCAGTGGTGGGCTCTGCCCGCTTCCACTGCCTCGGGTAGGGGCCCTGTTTGCTCACAGACTTGCTCTGGAGCCTCTCCTCGCTGCTGGCCGGACAGCACCGCATGGCAGGGCCTCCAGGCAGCCTGTGGGTGCAGAGCCACCTCAGCCTCCAGCCGCGGGAATCGGGCCCTCCTGTCTCCACATCCTGGGCAGACCCGGAAGCCAATTCCTTCCCAGCTGAGCTCCCAGATGAGAGCCTGGCCCAGCCGGCGTTGATTACAGCCTGGTGGCAGTAGAAGACCAAGGTAAACCAGGCCCCGGAATTTAGAAGCTGTGAGACAATGACTGTGGGTTGTTTGAAGGCTGTGAACTTGTAATTTTTGTGGAAAAATTGGTACCTAATCCAGTTGTGTACCGGTTATTTGTGCATGTCTCACTTTTTGGGGTGAGCAAGGCCAGCTCTCTGCGTTCCCATTGTGTAAGACAGTGCCTGGCTCATAGTGTTCAATGAAACTTTAAAAGGATGCAGGAAAGTATGAATACAAAGCATAAGTGCCCTATTGGATTCTCTTTGTCTAAAGAGAGTCACTGATTGATTGATTTTGAGACAGGGTCTCGCTATGCAGTTCAAGCTAGCCTCGGACTCACTATGTAGCCTAGGCTGGTCTCAGACTTGCAGCAATCCTCCTGCCTCAGCCTCCCAAGTGCTGGGACTACAGGCAAGTGCACCACACCCAGCACATTGTCTTTCAGCCATAATTTATTGAGCTTATGCCGAGACTGTCAATTCTGTGCTAGGAACTGAGGGAATAAAGAAAATAACCGCAGAAGGTTGCCATGTTGTGCTGCAAAATGGAAATCAAGTGTCAGACTTAAGCTTCAGCCCCAACGCCCAGTAACCTTTGTAACACTAGGCAAGTCTCTTCACCTCTCTGAACATCAGCTCTATGACTTTTTAAAGGTGGATAATATACTTGTGGCTTGGGACTGTTGTAAGAATAAAATGTAACAATTATACATGCTTGGTGCCTGCTACAGCACCTAACGCACTGTAAATATTCAAATATATTAATCTCACCTTTTAAAAAAAAATTCTACTTCCAGACCGAGCAGCTACAGGAGAGTGAGCTGACTAAGTTAAAGTGTCACAGACACTAAGTGCTTTAAAATTCAAGGACAGATCCAGGAGACACTGGAAAAATCAGAGTAGGTTTCACGTGGGATGTGAGGATCAGACAGGCAGGAGAGAAAGGTGAGAATATTCTAGGTGAGGCAGCTACGTGAAGGCACGAGGGAGGAAAAGCCACCTCCAACTGGTCCTGCTGCAGGGATTGGGCCCAGGGAGAAGTCTAACAGGTGCAGTGAGGACACCGGGACCTAGGGAGCTGTTAGATGATAAAAAGTGACATTCCCAGGAAAAGCGCTCTGGATCCTCTGTGTCGGGTGCACTGGGCAGAAGCTGGGAGGCGGCAGGAGGGGGACGGAGAAAGAGCCTGGTGTGAGCATCCAGGAAAGGGGAATGGTCACTCAGCAGGAAACTGAGGCTCAACTTGGCAGAACAGTGCAACCAGGAGAAGAAGACCTCTGAGGTGACAGCTAACAACCCCACGCCTGGAAGGGGCTCGAGTCACAGAGAAGGCGTCCCCAGGGTAATGGGCAGAGACCCGGCTCTCTGCTCTAGAGAAGCCAGTGACACTGCAGGCTGCCGCCAGGTCCTCGGCCTTCTTCTGACCCGGCCACTTATGCCCGGGCCATGGGGACAACTGTGAGCAGGCAGTGGCCGCTGGGTCTGTGAGGCGGCCTGTTGAGAAGGAACTTGTCAGAGAGAGAAGAACAAGTAACCGAAATCACAGGCTTTCAGGGACTCAGGGTCACTCCCTGGCAGGGACAGCCTCCAAGCTGCAGATTGGAGCCACAGAGCTGCTGTCCGTGACACCCCGTCTACTTCCCACCTGCCTGGGGTGGAACACGCGGCTGCTTGGTGGCATGAGCACTGGCTTGAGAGCCAAACAGTGTGATTCCAGGGCTCGGCTGCTGCTCACTGGCCGCTGACTGGGAGGCAGACTCGACCACAAGCCTCAGTTCTCCTGTGTAGAATGGACTGTTAACAGCTGTTCCCACCTCAGAGGGCTTTTGCAAGGATAAGGGAGCTACAATGTAAAATACTTATGGTAGCAGGCATGGTGGCACATCCCTATAGTCCCAGCCTTCAGAGAGGCTGAGGCAGGAGGATCACAAGTCCAACTCCAACCTGGGCAACTTAAGTGATTTATTAAGCTGTCTCAAAAATAAAAATAAATAAATAAAAAGGGCTGAGGATGTAGCTCAGTGCAAGGGGCCTGAGTTCCATCCCTAGTACTGGAGAAGGTAATGCTAATGGCCCGCAGTGTCTGGCCAGAATGAGTTTTCTATGTGTTTGGTATTTGTCAGCATCTTTTACATCTTTAGTTCCTCCCATGGAAACTGGTGGTGCTCCCAACCCTCTGTCTGCCGCACCTTCCTGTGAGGCCTGAAGAGTCGGTGTTTCCACGTCTGTGCTTACAATAAGTTTTCCTACTATTTGAACCAAGAGGAGTGGGTCTCCCTCCCTGTAGAAACCGCTGCTGTAGTGGAAGCTGTGAGAAAGTCAGGTGTGAACGTGTGGTTGTCACCGCAAGCACGTGACCCTGCCCTGGAGTCTGGGCAGCCAACTGGAAGGGGAGGAAACTCATGTGCACTGGGTGCCTTATCTTGAGCCTGGTGACTTAGGACCCCCGCACTTCCTCCAAAAATAAGTTATTTACCCTGCGGGGGAGCAGGTACTGATTCGCCAACAGGAGCATTTCCGCTCAGGGACAGTTTTATTTTAGTGTATGAGTCCACGTGTGAAGTACATATAATTCCTGTGTGGAGTTGGTACATGTGCGTAGCACATCCCAGTTCCTTTTTCATCCCATTGTGTAAGAGATACAAATGTTTTTAACTGGTCTGAACTTCATTAACCACTCTAATAAGCCCTTACACTCAGAATTAACCAGATCAGTAACGGACAAGGGACCCATACGCAACTCATGCAGAGATAAGGTTCTGGGGTTAGAGATAACTGCTAAACAAGTTTTCATGCATTATGGTCCTGGGAAGCCAGAAGGCCATAAATAACTACCCAAAAAAAGGGGGGGAGGGCCAAAATAGGAAAGAGGGTGGGGAGTAACAGGTGCACCCAAGACAGATGGTGGGGGTGGGGTGGGGGCAGAACCCAGATTGCTGGACGCAGAGGTGGGGGAGAAATAAAAGCTCACAGCCTCTGCACTCTTGCAGAAGTACATTACAGCCTTGCTTTCACTGCCCATGACCTCTAATTTTGGGGGGGGTCTGTACAAGTAAATTCATTTCTCATACTTAGGGTGGTGGGGGGGGTGGCGACAGAACCCAGATTGCTGGACGCAGAGGTGGGGGAGAAATAAAAGCTCACAGCCTCTGCACTCTTGCAGAAGTACATTACAGCCTTGCTTTCACTGCCCATGACCTCTAATTTTGGGGGGGGTCTGTACAAGTAAATTCATTTCTCATACTTCTTTTTATTTCTCAGGGTAAGAAATATGCATTGCTTTTCTGACCCAAGTCACCTTGGGCAGCACAGCCAGTATTAAGTATTCACCACGCCCACCAGGGCAGCGCAGTACAGTTAAAGAGCTCTGGTCCTCATGGGTCAAATCCCGGCTGAATGCTCTTTGCTGAGCAAACAACCCAAACTCCACTGCAGAGGGAGGAGGATGAAATCCGCCTTGCAGCTGAAAGCGAGGCAGGAATGTGTGACACCCTCCTGAGCCCAGGCACACACCCTCACTCACGTGCTCTAGGGCCTACAGTCTTTACAGACACGGCCTACACGCACAAAAATAAGCAGGGAGTCTCAATTCCGTCTGTGGTGGAATCCCAGGGCTGTGCACTGGGGAGATGATTTTATATCCAGAGGCACTTGTGGCACTGTTATTTTGGAATATATGGTATTTTATATGCAATACTGAAAACTCCCTAGGAAACCATTTGCTCCCCATTCAGGCCCTGGCTCCTGACCTCCACGTCTTTCCTAGCTGTGGAGCTGATCGTGAATAACAGGGCTTCTCAGGGGAATTCTGAGCTTAGCCCGAGCACCCTGAGCCCTCCGGTTTGGAGAGGCCTCTGGGAGGTTCACCTCTTCCCGCGGACTCCATCGGGGAAGGAGAGCACAATGTGGTTTATGTCGGCAGTGAAAACAGAGATAATTTTAAAGAAATAGTCAGTGATGGGCATGGTTTAAGCAGAATAAAAAGTAAAACAAGAACTAGAAAATAAATCACTCAACATAGTTAACACAGTAATGCTTTTATTATGCATAGGATTAAAATCCCACCCTGCAACAACAGATACCATTTTCCAAATTCCAGGCCACAACGTGTCGGTGCCCGTGAGTGTCCCCGAACCGGTGACCCAGGCCCAGGCCTGGGCCCACGGCCTCCCCAGTACCACCTGCTTCCCGTCTTCCCCGGAGCTCTCCACACCCTTCCCATCCACCCCGGGTCACTTTTGGCCTGGTCCTGGAGCAGTCGCGACTCCAGGCAGAAGAGCACAGGCCGCTCAGTTCCTGCCCTGCCTCCTCTGTTTTCACCCAGCACAGGGAGCAGAGGGTGCTGTGTCGCTCCCACCGAGCGCCCGCACCCGTCCCTTCCGTCAGCTCCTGCTTCCCCAGTGAGTGCAGTTCAGAGCCACACCTCCCAGTCACTGCCCCCAGGGCCTGCATGTGCGTCTCAGCTGGCAATGACATCACGGGAAAGGGCAGTGGTGGTGCTGGGGAGGCGTGAGAATGTCCCGGCCCCAG